TGAAACCTCCTGGGGTGTAGCACTGCCGAAGAAAGGAGGGAAAGGAGGATTGAAGAGACTTTGGTGCATCAGGCAGGCGGAAGCCTGAGAGGTGCAAGACACAGCTCCTAGAGAGTGAGAGTGGTAGACTCACAAATACAGCTTCAACACAGGAGCACGATTTGGTTTTACAAAGAAAGGGAGGGCATTTTATGTAAAGATTAAACACCGTGACAGACCGATTTATCTAGAAGAGACATTGATATCTGGCCAGTGGTTCTAATTACAGTCCTCCCTTGGCAGGGCAGCTCTGAGAGTTGTAGCTCTGGATATTCTTTGTGAAACTCGGCCATTTTGGGGGCCTGTTTTTGAGGAAGTAAATGACAAAGCAGCTTAATTTTCAGCAAAAAAAATTTTTGAAAGGGACTAGAAAAGATCAGTTTTTATCCAAAGTAAATAATATAGGAATGAGAAAACATAGAAGTGTTGGAAAGGAGACCCAATTCACATTATTTGTAGAAAACATGATTCTGTGCTTCTATACTGTTAGAACTATTAAGAATTCAATTAGCTGTTCATATAGATAGTAATTATCACAATTCAGTGGCTTTTGTTTGTCGTAGCAATAAAACATGAGAATATTATATGAAAAAGTGTATTCATATTTGCAACTGAAAATATAAACAATAAAATCCTTATTACAGTTTATAAAACAAAACTTAAACACATGGAACACTGTGTAAATTGCTTAAAAATTTAATTAGATGTCTCATTTAATTCCAATCTGAATTTCATCTGGAAATATAAAGAAGTGAACAATTAAAAATTTAAGAAGGAATAATGAGAGCAGTGGTTGATCTAGATAGTGAAGTGTATTATAATATTAGAGCAATTTAAAACAGTGTGGTGCTGGCACAGCAGTTGAATAAAGATCAGGGCATCTTTCAGGACCCCGGATGAGCCCCAGGGACAGTGGTTTAGTTCATTTTTTAGACACCCTGAAAATTCCCAGAAGTGCCTTTGGCCATTAGAGGGAATAAGTATGAGGGCTCTGAGCACTCTCATCTCCACCTTAACAAGAATAGCTCTGCTTTTGTGCATTTTATATATTGGGTTCCCACATTTATTTGGTTTCACATCCCAAAGAGTTTCCATTGCCCTAATATTAATATATGGTAGAGGATGACTCATTAACTCTGACTGGCTTATGAAACAAATTATAGTGGGGAATCTTATTCATAGGTGGTGGGGCTTAAGTCAGTGTTTCACCTTGCTACAAAATGATACAGATGAATTCAAAAGTAAAACCATAAAAATACTTGAAAAAATATTTGTAGATATTTGCTTGCTCTCTGGATAAAAGGAATTTCTAAACATAGGACAGGAGTCATAATGGAAAAAACTAACGGAGTTGTTCATGTGAAAATAGAAAACTTTGCTTATCTCCCTAAAATACCCTCCCAAAAAGCAACAAAAACATAGATATCTATTATTAATATACAAAATAGTATTATTTTACTATATGAAGACCTTTTTACATATAAGGAAAACAGAAATATCCTGTTATATCCCATACGATACTCATGTGAAAAAAAAAAAAAACTTTATCCCCATTAGTATTTACAGAAGTATGATTAGAATAACAATGAGCCGTTACTTTTTGACCTACTAAGTTGACAAATACTACTAAAAGATAATGCTGAATATTGGCAAAGTTGTGGTAAGAGAGGCAGATTTAGTTCTGCTTGGTGAGAGTGTAAATTGTTGAAATCTTTTTGGAAGCAGTTGGCAAGAGACGTGACAGAGCTCACATCCTTTGATTCAATAATACTCTAAGAAAGTTACATTCAGTATAGTCTTTATTAATTGAATTTTTAAAAGACTATAAATCCCTATCTTCAGTGAAGTGTTAATTATGATGCCCATTTTGAAGAATTCGTATTGCATGGAGAAAATTCAGATAGCTAACAATATTTGCACATACTTTCTATAATTATATTAAATTGATATGTTTGGATAGGAAAAACTAGAAGGAAAACACAAATATTCTTGTTTGTAGGCTTATGGGTACATTTTGTTTTCCATAATATAGGTATGAGTTTGCATTTTTCCAATTTTTACTATCCAAAAATAAGGTCATTTTAAATGATTATTATCGGTGGAAAACTTCAGAATTTTCTATTTTGTCACAATTAACATCATTACTGCCCAAGCCAGTTTCAACGTGTTTTGATTTTCTGAAATATTTACTGGCCCTATAACATCTTATTTTGATAAAGAGTCTTAAAAATTGTGAGTAATCTTACTCTCTTCCGTGTCCTAATGCATCCTTGACCCCAGTTTCTAAAGAGGTATGTACAAGATGGGAAACAAATCGGAGGAACATGTTAAAATCAAGACAGGTATTACATAACCATGAAAACATGTTCAGATATTAGTTGTATTTGAAAACGTCACGAAGGATCATTCAGGAAGTTTAATTGTGCAGGGTGTATGAAACCTTTAACACCTCACAGCCAGGAGAGCGCTGGGGCAAAGGGCGCTTACTCAGTCTGGTGTTGGGGCCTGGTAGCATAGCATGCTGTCTCACTCCGACTGTGGCTCGTGCCCACTGTGGTGCTTGAGTATGGCTGCCTGTGAGTCTGATTCATGTCTCCGCCTTGTGTCGCGTTATTTCGATGGTGTCAGTGTTTTGTTCTGTGAAGGTAATTTCTCTCTCTCTTTTGTTCTGTCCATGTTCACACAGCTAGTTCAGTGAAGCTTGTTCACAACCAGGAACCTCTCCTTCTCTGTCTCCTTTCTCTGTCTTGCAGGAACTGAGGGTGGCTTCTGGTGTTCTGTGTGGCTTCATCATTTCCTTCCTGCCTCTCACCCACTTCATGATGTAATTCTTGGCACTTTTACTTCCTTTGTAGAGTAGGATGTGATGTCATAGAGAAGGGGACAGGGCTATCCAAATTCTCTCAATTGCTGGGAGGAGCGGCCCAGGTGTGCTGAGGGGCCTGTACTCAGGAAGAGAAACAGGGAATCCTCCACAGTGAGTAACCCCACTTTTGAGTGCACCCAAATTTCCGTTAAAACGTTGCCCGGTACGCTGGAGTTTCCTCTTCGGCCCTCTCCAGATTTAATTAGTTTGCCTTTTGGACATTCCCAGTTCAGCTCAATTTTCCTCCTTTTGCTCCCTCCCCCCCTTCCCCCCCTTTCTGCCGTCCTGTGTCTCTCCCCGCCAGTTTCCCTCTTCCTTGCTTGCTTACTTGTGTCTGTCTGTGTCTTTTGACCTTCTGCCCATATCTCTTATGAGAGACCCTGAGTGTCGCCAGCATCGCCTGTCATTTGGGGGGGTGCCCACCCTCTGTGCAGTCCATGCGCCCACAGCATCTCCTTTCAGTAATTCATAAGTATGCACCGTTCTACTTAGAGTTCTCGCCTTTTTGTTTTCATGTCTACTTCTTTCCTGCCTTTCTCTGTGATCTAATCTTCCTCCTTTTCAGCTCTACGATGCAGTTTCCTTCTTGCCTTTTTTTTTTAACCAGTATTTTTACACGTTAGTCCTCTTCCCCATACAGCTGTGCCTATGTTTCTTTGTCCCCCTTCCCAGTTTTCAGGTGAGCTCTCCAGTGGCCTCCTCTGTGAGGACCATTTTCCTTCTTTCCTGTGGACACACTCGTTGCCGTGCCCGCTTCCTAGTGTAGCTCACGTTGCTGGGTTCTTTAAAGGACTTACCTAAGACTATGGCTAAGGGACAGATCCGGACTGGGGAAAATGGGGACATTTCCTGAGAACTAGAGAGAGGGGAGAACAGGAAATTGGCCCTGGTGGTGAAGGCTGGAATGGGGCAGGCTGTCTGTAAGTCACCGGAGACCTTGGCCAGTGCTAGTTGCAATTTGGCCCTGATAGTTAGGAGAGATCACAGAGCTATTTTGAACAGGTGCAGAAGCCTTTTCAATTTTTAGTTTTTAAAGTGACCCTGTTTTTTTTTATGATCGTTCTAGTAAATAACCCTAAATTAGAACTCTAGAATGTGCAGAAACTTCTGTACGGCATCTTTAGGTAGGTGTTGTCTACCCTTGGAGGAAGTCACTGTGAGGATGTGTGTAGACTTGGTTCTCGTCCCCGGAGGTGGCTCCTGCCGTCCGTGCTGGTGAGCAGTGTGGGCACTCTTGTTGACTGCTTTCCCTACATGTAATGAAATCCCTGGATAAATAAAGAAACTTGATTTCCAGGTCTGATGGTCTAATGCCTGTGGAAAGAATGAGCCAGGTCCCATGCATTCCCCACACTTTGTTTAAAACAACTCCCTTCCCCTCAAAAATAAGGAGGCCAGAAGGGGAGAGAAAGAAAAATGGGACTCAGTTCATACAACTGAGGTGGGCTGAGTGGGAAGAGGAAGGGGTTTACTTGAAATTAAGTGAAAAAGGCAGGAGAAAGGAAACTGAGCTGAACTGGAACACACCCTGTAATGGCTTACTTGGGTTTCTGTAGGCTTTTTTCCCATTTTGGCCATGAAGGAATTTTTTTCCCTCATTTTTTTTTTTTAATACAAAAGAGGTTGATCAAAATGTGAATCCAGTGAGGTTATTTCTAACCAGCACTTTGTTTTCTGCTGTTGCTAGTGTCCAGGCTCCATGTTTCCAAGGTCCTGGAGATTTAGGAAACATTTTAATAGCCTGAAAACCTGTCTTTAACCATAAAATATTGGCAATTTTTAATAAAGGAAATTATATACATTTATTAACTTGGTTTTTTTCAGGTTTCACATTTTTTTTTTTTTGGTGTGTATGCCTTTGTGATATTTTTTTTTTTAAGAATGACCCCCATGTTGCAGAAATTGCCATAAATGTCCAGAAAAGAATTACATTCTCACTTTAGACACCTGAACTGTGTGATGGGACCTTATTTTGACATAATGGCCCCTTCCCCCTTTAAAATTTTAAGGAAGCCTTGCATGATTCACAAACATTTTTATTTCGTATGCTTTCATACAATAATACAGGAATTTTATGTTTATTTTTATTTTTTAGGCACTAGAAAAACACCCCAATTCACCAATGACAGCGAAGCAGATATTGGAAGTCATTCAGAAAGAAGGGTTAAAAGAAACAAGGTCAGTATTCATATTTACATTTTCTATTTTCATTGCCACTAATTGCAAAGCAGTAGATATATCTAGATTTTGATATTGTAGTTGATTGTGGATTAAGTAATTACCTGCAAATTCTTTTGTGATTGCCAAATACTTGGATGACCGAAGATTTCCTTGGAACTGCCTGTTGGCTTAATAAAATACATTAGACAGGTTAATATAGAATGTACTTTGTTAACAAAGAGCCTTGCTGCCTGAATTAGTCCTTCATTGGAGTTACTCCTCTTTCCCTATGTCTTGTAAGAGGAGATTTTGTTTCTGAAAGTAAAGAGGAACACTTGTACAGGCTTATTAGATAGATCCCAGGATATAAAAATTAGGTCACTCTGATAAAATTCAAAGTGCTAATAAATGTGGTTGGAAATTTAGCCGTTTTCTCTTTAGACTTCCTCTACTTGGAGTGTCATTAATCAGTTATTAAAATTAATAACAATTTTATTGAGATATAATTCATATGCCATAAAATTCACCCCTTTAAAAGGTATAATTCAGTGGTTTTTAGTATATTCACAGAGTTGTGCAGTCAACACCACTATCTAATTTTAGGACATTTTCATCACCCTGAATGAAAGTCCATCCCCATTAAGCAGTCATTCCCCATTCCCTACTCCTTCCAGCCCCTGGTAACCATGATTTGATTTTTTGTGTCTGTGGATTTGACTGTTCTGGTTATTTCATATAAGTGGAATTATACAATATGTAGCCTTTTGTGTCTGGCTTCTTCCACTTTAGCAAAATGTTTTCAAGGTCCATCCATGTTGTAGCATGAATCAGTATTTCATTCCCTTTTGTATGCCAGATAATATTCCATTGTATGGATATATACTGCGTTTTGTTTACCTATGATGAGCCTTTATTAATTTTACAGTTTGGCCTTTAGCCATCAGTTGAGGGCCATTTTGATATTACTCAAGGAGAAAAAAGAAGGTTGTTACAAAATAAAATAAACATAGAGCTGTCATATGAGTATGTAATCATCCATGTTACATAGAGTGAATTACTTTTGTATGAAGTTGTCTGCCTGTAAGCCATTGAGCATATAGTAGTTGCAGCTTGGTGAAAATTAGAGCTGCAGAGCTACCTTTTGGATGTTTTTACTGATACTGAGGTAGAACTGCTGAGAGAAAGGAATATCTTCCTGAGGCCAACTTTTCCTAAAAAAATCGGCATCACCTGTAACTCTTCTTACTGTAAAGGGTGGGTAACATCAGCTTCTAGCTGTTTAAAATGCATCCTTTGCAAGTTTGATCCACGAACATCACGACTTAGAGGGGTGTAGGACATCTGGGCTCAGATTTTCATGTCTGTGTTGGAGGCTCTTTCTGCCTGTTCTGAAGACACAGCCTGAGTATGTAGCTACACCGTTTGGAAGAATTGTGTCCCCAGCAGACTGGAGGCCACAGTGGGAAGAGAAGTTGCTGACAGAGCCTAACAGCTCTGCTAAGGGTAATCCTGTTCTTCGAAGCCAGATGTCAGCCTGCAGAGTTAGGGACCAAAATGGGGACCCCTGGAAATTTTCTCCTTGCTGCCTGTCAGAAGCCCCGAAAATATTTATGCCATTTAGAAAGCACTGAAAATGTTTGTACAGCAGCCAAAAGAAAAGAGGAGGTAAAAAACAATCTAAGGATATCAACTCCTGTTGCATGTAGGCTCTGTGCCAGTGGAATCTGCCAACGTAGACATAAAAAGCATCTCCTAGAAGCAGACATTTGAAATGTGTCCATTACGATATTCTTCTTAACAGGAGCGACTGTGCTGCCATCAGTCGTTGCATACCTTGAGATCTAAAATTCCTGTACTGTGCCTCTGAACAGCATTTTAATTACACTTATTATTGTAACAGCATTATTTCATATTTTTCAAAAAGCTGGTCTTCCCAGAATGGTACATTAAAGGGCTTTACGCATAGGTAGTTAACAAAGCAAAACACAAAACAGCTCCTTGCAAGAATACTGAAATGGAAAAACGTAATCTGCTATTTCTCCGAATATAACCCTCCCTCTCTGCCCCCTCCACCCAATTATTATAAAGAAAAGAAACATGTTGGTTGTTACAAATACTGATGAACCAGTATGGTAATATTGGATGTACCTGTGAGGAATTCACAAGCTGAATAGGAAAGGGAGCAGGCGAAGAAAGAGACCATAGTTCTCTTTGAGTTCTATTCTGTAAAATCAGCTCTGCGTCAACGGGCCTCAGACTACACATTTTCGTTCATAGTTCTTTCTGCTTTCTTTGAGTCTTCTCTCTTTTGCCGATAGTGACCTGTTATTTATGGCCCGTGTGTCTGTGACCACTCTTCCCTTGTTTCCTGGTTTGCTTATGAGGATCATCTCTAAAATAAAAGTACATGCTCTGAGTGAGTTTTGGGCTTTGCTACCTGTTATGTATGTTGTTTTAGGAAGCAGATTCTGACATTTATTTTGCCTACTTAATGTACTCTTTTGCTACCTTCCAAGTTCCTAAATGTTTTCCAAATATTTATGGTAACTGAGTAAATGAAGTGCAACTGTATCTGTTTTTCTTAAGTTACATTTAGAAATTCCATCATCATAAGGTCATACATGACTGTTTAATTTCTAGGTATTTATTAATGATGTGTTTTCCAAGAAATGCGGGTTTTATGATATGCCTGATTAAATGGAGGGGGAGGGGAGTGATTGTGAAAGTTACTAAGGTGGCTGTGACCTGCTGGTGGTCTTGGTGGGTGAGAGGTCACAGTAGTGGTCCTCCCCCAAACAGTCCACCACTGTACCTAGCATTTCTAGAAAAGAGAAGATTGGGGCTTTATCCATCATCATTCTGAACCTGGATTTAAACTAATGCCGTTTGTTTCAGGTTCCATGGGGGTCCTTCATTCCGTATAGCACTGACCTCACTGTCCTGTAATTTTGTCCTTGTTTGTCTCCCTGCGCCTGCCTGTGGGCTTTTTAAGGGCAGGGCCTCTAAGACTCCTGACACTCAGCAGATAGTCGATCAGTATTTGTTGAGTAAATAATCTTCTTTCTCAGGATGTTAATTTTCTGGTGCTTAGTGATGACTTTGGCTTCCATTTGGGGTTAGAAGCTTCTTTTTAACGTTATATGTTGTATTTTTCATCCTATTTAATACTTTGTGTGTTTTAATCAAAAGGAACCTAATGGTTTTGTGGGTACCCCATTAAGTATATGCAAGCTGATAATCTGGCAGATTATATGTGAGCAAGTGAGGCTATTGTGCTGTCACCTGTTTTCAAACACTGCAAGTGCCTCTGGTTTAAACTTGTCATTTGTAATAGAAAACACACAAATAATTTTGGCAAAGCTGATAGGAGTATTTGAAAGAATTCAGTATATGGGATATTGTTAATTTATTTGACTGTGATGAAATTCTTGACATTTTATGCTATCTTTTCCTCTTTTCAAGTGATACTTTAAATTGCATACTTTTTTATGTAGACATGATAAAAAGAGGACAGCTTTTCTATATCATGTTCTTTGTATCTTTTTCATGTTATCGATGAAATGTGTAGTGTGTGATTAAATTCTATTTGGAAAAGACTGCAAAAAGTACTTTCCATGTGGTTTTAAAAAAGGTCAGAAGGCCATATGATTTTTGTTGGAAAAAAAATAGTATCATGGCATGATTTGCTAGAATTTTTAATGAAAACGTATTTGGTAGGTTTTAATTCCCTTCTGTATAATAACATAGAAGATTTTTATCAATATAATTTTACTCTGGTCCATCTTTGTATTTGATTCTGAGTATTTCCAGGATTTTGTTACTTTGTGTTTATGAGTTGTGAACCATTGATAAGACATAGCTGTTTGGAATGCTTTTCAGCCATGTTGCTTGTATAGAGGGGATAAAAATGTGCATATTCCAGTCTGCTGGTTTTGTGGATGGATATTTGATATAAAGCCTGTTTGAACTGCTTGACTAAACATTCCCCCTTCCTCAGGGAGTCAGGGTGCTACTGTAGAATATGGTCTTGTCTGCAGTAATTTCAGTATATGTACTGCCAAAGTGAGCACTTGTCTCCAGTAGTTAGAAAGATGTTTATAGAAAAAGAGGAGTAACTCGTTACCATGTTGGTTTGGATGACTTTTGGGGTTGTCCTAATTCTGCTCTTCTGTTTTTGGTTTGCTTATTCAGAAGTTCTAATTCCTTTACAAAGAGGACTGAGGGATTTTTGATGCCTGAGGATGTTTTTCTCTGCTTATGTAATTTTTAAAGTGATGCTTCCAAAGAAGTATGTGCTCTCACATGGGAACACATCCAGGGGTGGCAAGGTCAAGCCGTGAGGCTTGTGGCACTTACCTAGTGAGAGCAGACCATTCATCAGTGAGGGATAATTTCTTATGTGCTGGGCATCATCATTACAAGATACCTGTCATTAAGGTAGCATGAACCTTGATTTAGTTTTCATATTATTTGCTAATAGGCAGATGGTTTTCTAATGGAGATAAGGCAGTCATAAAATAAAGACAAAAACCAAACCAAAACAAAACAAAAACCACACCACATACACAAAGCAATAAAAAACCTCTGTTGGTTTGGGGGCAGGGCAATATTTATGAGGTACATTTTTACAAGATTATAGATGTCTTACTTTAAAAAAAATCTGTTAGATTTCATCAACCATTTGCAGAGCAACAGCCTATAATTATATATCACAGTGGGGACATTTGAAAAGCTTTATAAACAGTCTCTGTTGTGTTTAGTGTTACTCAGAATATGGATGTATTTTTGATTTTGCAATGTGGAACATGAAATTGACAACCCAAGATTTTGTAATTATTCTGGTATCAATGAGAACTTTTTTCTCCCCACTGATAATTCTTAGAATAAATTTGTTTTTAGCTACTCGCCTTAAGGTTTTGCATGTTTTCTGTTTTGCAGTCTGTGTTATGATATACTGAAATTAGGATCTCTGCTTCGTACTGTGGTTTATTAAAGATGTTGCATTTTTCTAGGGGGAT